ATGGACACCTCACACACACACACACACACACACACACACACACACACACACGCACACACACACGCACGCATGCATGCAGCACACTGATAAATCTCCTCAGGTGATCTATAATTCATTTTAAACACAATTGTTTAATTCATCCATGATTTGCTTCATAAATTAACCACATGATGAGATTTCTATATTCTCACTAAAAGCCTCAGCACATCGAGCTGATTCACTGAAATTTTAAATAAAATACATTTAACTATTTTGATGTGCCACTAGCTCATTATTTGACTAAATGAATGCAAATCAAGTCTTTAGAATAAACACTTTTATATTGTAGCCAATAAGGATGCCCATCTTAAGTTTCCAGGTCAAAACTGAAAATTATTCAATCTTTTGCACACTTTAAACTCATTAAATACAATAATTTGACAAAGACACTCCCAACACGCCTGTTTTTGGTCTGTGGGAGACAACAGGAGCACCCAGCAAAAACCCACATAGGCACGAGGAGAATCTGCTAACACTGCTCAGAAAGGCTGCAACTGGGATTTGAACCAGCAACCGTATTGCTGCGATGCAACAGTGCCACCAGCAGCACCACCATTTTCAAAAGATACAATAAATTAATGAGCTATAAAATAAAATAAAAACCTAATATTTCTTCTTTAGTTTGAATTTTACAATTGGAGTAAAAAAAATCAACAAAAAATAAATAAAATAAAAAATTGAAGTCAGTGCTTGTGGCTTCAAATCTTTTAATATGATCTGATGTTAGAGGGTCACAGATGTAATCAGAGTCCCTCTGACCCAGCGCTTGAGCTCCATTTGGAGCATTAATGCTGGAATGCACAGGGGAGACCTGGAGACAAATGACTTTTTCTCCAAAAACACCTGGAGTGATAGCCAAAGTTCTCCAGTTCTGCAGAGTGTTACTTAAAACTTGAAATAAATCAAAAATCGGCTCTTCTCTGAGAAACTTTTACCACTCTCCTCTGTTTATCTTCAAAAACAAAGCCGCCTGCATGGTCAGAAAGTGGGATTCTGACAGCTGCTTGGCTTGTGAAGTGTCGGTAAAGAGGCTGCTGTGGCGCTGCTTCCTGCAATTCAGAAACCATATTAAAAATTAAGTTGTTTTCAACCTTCTCTGATTCAGAGAGGGTCATTGGTGCTTCCATCTGATCTTGTTTCCTGCAGAGCTCCTCTCATTCAGGTGGCTTTTCTCCACAGCAAGACTACAAAGTAAATCTCCATTAGGAGGAAATAAATCCCTTTTGTATTTCCTCTAGAAGTAGATGTAGTGTTTTTAATTTGGACCAAGCAGTTGGATGAAAGCTCACACAGATTGTGATCTGCCTCATTTCTTCAGTCCTTCCATTATTAGTCAGGCAATGCAGCCAACTACCTCAGGGCCCCAGACCCGGTGGGGGCCTGATGAGCTCTCGGTTTACCATGAGCCAGCTGGGTTTAGCTAATTGACCGTTAGCTAAAGCCCTTCCTCTGACCTGAGCAGCATTTGTCCAGTTATTGGCGCAAAAGCCCCAAAACACATGAGCTTCTTAGAATCTGGTTGTTATTTATTTGTTTACTGAAGCTTTTTATTAGTTTGTCTGCATGGCTGGAGGCTTGTAAAGGATTTCCTTAACTTCTTGTTTTGGTGGTGAGGCCGTGGTGGTACAGTAACCTTCATCATGTTCACGATGGATGAAAAACATCCCACCACAATCCAAGTCAGTGGGAGCTTATTTACATACCGCTGATGAAATCTGCCAGCAACAGATGTCATCTCAGTCAAAATGTGACAGGTGATAACATGAAAGGAGATTTTTTTAGATGAAAAAGGAGAACACAATTATTAGCGGTGCAGCTGTCAGTCTGTGACGTTTTATTAGATTTAATCCAAGGGCACCACTAAAGGCTATCGTAGCAATATGTCTGCAACTCCTGCAAACGGGAACAATTCAGGAAACGGTCACAAGATCTTGTCTAGTTATGGCACGCTGCTGGAAGGCGGTGATGGTTTTACCCGTGTCTGTTTGTGTGTTGGATAAAATAAATCTCGTGAACCACGGGGCTGATTTTAATAAAATGCTCACAAAATAATCGCTGGGTGTATGTCTCCTGATTAAAACGGGGTCAGTTTTATGGATATGAGGTAAATTCTGCTGTGGTAGCAGAGAGTCAGTCAGTAAGTAAACTAAGTGCAAAGAGATGATGTTAAAGAGACAATGTGTAATCTCTGGAAATGTCCATCAAAATGTTGTTGGAAATGAATTAAAAAATGCCCAGTTGTTGAATAATATTAGCAGCTTTGTGACATATAACCATGAATCAGGTCTAAAATAAAAAGGAGCACATCTGAGCTCAGACGTTGACTGGCACTGCTGTAGTGGCCGGCCGCCATTTTAGATGGGTCTCTATTTGACCCCAGTGCATTCATTTCTACCGAGAAAGGGGCTTACCCAACTAAAAAACACATTTTATCAAACTTTTCCACAAGATCGGACACATAGCATTGTATGATAATTAAAATATAATTAAACAAAATAAATAAAAATGAATTTAAACATAAAATCCCATCAGGTAGGTAAGAAATGTCACGTGATCTGTTTTCAGTTGTACGCCAGCTGTTATAACTGTAGGCTGCACAGAAACGGACATAGTTCCTCACTCTGCGTTAGGGTGTCTACATATTCATGTCTATGGGTCTGAGGCTCTGGGCGACGCCATGTTTCCTTCTACGGGAGCCCATGAGGACAAAAATGCATTTACTGATGTGTAACAAAAGGTTAGAAAACTTTCACCAGTCATAAACAATTTACACATTTACCTCTTTGCTCATTGCCAGTGATGAAAGGGAGTTTGATGTTCTTGTCATTTTGCTGGAGGTTGTGCTCCCAGGGATTTTGACCCGAACACAAAAATAATGCTTGCATGCAATTATTTAGGTATGTACAGTCCCCTCGCCAGGGAACACATACACATTGTCACTTTATGTTAATATTTGACCGAAACAGATGTATTTGCATCCTTTGTTCAGGTTTCCCTAAAAGTAAACCCTCTACAGCCAACACATGACGCTTCATCAGAGTGAGAAGCTTCATGAAGATGACACCAAACTCTGGAATTAATCAATAACCCATAAAACCGGCCCAGAATTCAGCTCAGAAAAGTAGTTTATTGACTTCCAACATGTTCAAAATGCTTTAAATCGCTTATTTTTACACTTTTAACATTCTTAAATTTGATTCACAACCATTTTGAACCCAGAGAGGATGGTTGGATAACTTCTGGTAGATTAAAAAAATACACTTGGTGACTTTGTAGATAATAAAAAGGTTTTGCAGATTTTCTTTGAGTTTCTGCAAAGCATGACCAATTTAATAATGTTTCCAGGGTAGTGTCTGTTCCAAGAGCAGTTATTTATATTTGTAGCATCGTGTCTGTGCACCAGAGCAACAACGCGTCAGCGTGCACGGCCCCCCCGTGAGACGAGAGCATTTGATTTAACCTGTCAAATGACTGGAGACATTGTGAAAAGCGTTTATCCATAATTACTTTGTGTCCATTCTCGTCTGATTCTGTGTCTTGAAATATCCCCGAGCCACAGCGTCTCTCAAATAGCCTTTAAAACCTCTTGATGGCTGTTTCCATAATGGCTCCATCATCTCATTTGCGCGTTGAAAAGCGCCGCTGATGACTCAACAAAGGCCAATTATTGGCGACGTCTTACAGTTTGACTAAGAGAGGAAAAAGATACAATAACCAAAACAACATTAACTTGTTTTTTGTGTGTGTGTCGATGCAAAGCAAGACTCTTGCATTCAGAACAAAAAGGCATGAAAATAACAAGGAGGTAATCCCATTTTTCTACATAGCCAACCCATCATTAAAAGCCAACAGGGCAAATCGAGACAAAACAAGAATCCTGGTAGCCAATTAACTCAAGTCCAAATAAACCACATTAGCATGCACTCAGCTTTAATCAGCCGTCAATCTACTGTAAAAATAGTTCTCAGACTGATGTGATATGTAGACATTTACATTTCTTTTTCTTCTCAGTAAGGCATGCCATTATTGAAGACTTTCCATTAAGCGAGGGCTGAAAATGTTACCATGACAATACCAGATCACTGTTCTGTCACCCAGCAATTACAGGGTGGACTCAGAAAAGTTGTAATGAGAGTTTCTTCAGCTGCAGCCTCCAAAATCAAGCTGAGGGTGGAGTTTGCTTTGTTGTTATAAATCCGCAGCAAAAACACGAGCGTCTTCACACGCGCTCAAATAAGATTTTCCAGCTTGTCAGGTGAAGTAATTGCAGAAAAGCTTGCGGTTGTTTATCACACTGAGGGTAACTGCAGGGAATCTTCAAGCCCATGGACGAGCAGAGAAGATATATGGCTGCACAAATTAAAACAGCTGTGAAACAAAAAGAGGAGCCTGCTGCGAATACTGATCCAGAGCTGAGGAAGTTAAAAGCTCCAGTAAAGAGACAAGCTTACTTCCAAAATCCTGCTCAGATCTGCTGAAATCCAACACTTCAAGAGCTTTTAATGGATGCAAAATCCGTTTGAGTGCAGGAGCGTTATCTGCATTCAGGTTTTTTTATTTATTTTTGAACAGATATGAGCTAGATGATAAATTGTTCATGTGATGCAACAAAAATATCCAATTTGTCATCTGAAGTTGCAAGTAAACTTTTATTTTCTACTTTTATTCATGGACACATTTGCAATTTGGCTTTATCAAATTAATTTAACAGAGAAAGTTTGCGCAAATATGGGAAATCTACCCATTTCTGTATTTATTTTCACCCCCCATCCTCTATAATCCTAACTCCCACCCAGTCTGAGAGCAAACCCACATGGTAACAGATAAAATAAAAATAATACAATTACTGTTCGACCCAAGCTAGAGACCACACACATATATAAAAATACATTTATCTATTTTTACACTAGCTTTGGTTCATACCAGACATCTTAGTTTGTTAATTTAATAAAAAGCAGATGAAAAGAAAAAAAGTGGCACTTTTATTGTCTGAAAGGTAAAGTGCTGAGGCTTAGTTACAGATTAATACCCACATTCATACCTAACCAGTGTTTTTAATTCCACACATTAATACAGATTAAATCCCAGGAGAGACTTTCACACACTCGCCTGAATAACGCGTTTATGTCGCCCCCAGGCGGTCACTTACGGATACTGCAACGTTCTACAGACGAGCTGCTCTACATGTCTTTTATTTTGTTAACACAACTCAAAACAGAAAGGGGATTTAGTTCACATTTAAAACAAAAAAAAATACTAGATTAATTTAGTTGCAATACAAAAATCTAAACTCATAAAAATTCAACCCAAATAATAAGCTACAATGACATCATTTATGACCTGCTGACTCCTGATTTATTGTTGAGTAATTATAAAATCAACATTGCGCATTTAGGTCTGAACCTACCTTGAGTTGTGTTTTAATTTTTATTGATGTCCGGTGTTAAAACACCAGAGTAAGGCAATCAAATATGGCTATAGCACATAAGGGCCGTCTGTGTGTGCATGCTCATGCATCTGCTAATATTACCTGTTTATATACACGCATGAGTCAAAACTCTTCACATCCTCTTTTGATTTACAGCACACACACATAATCTGTCTGCAGCTTCCATGAGGTCAAGAATATTAATAATAGTAAAAACAGAAAAGATGCAAAACAGGCCTTTTCTTAAGCTTTGTTCTGCAAACTGGAGATCCCACACCATTGCACTGCTTAAAAAATATTTTTGTGGATCTTTAGGTGTGAGATGAGCTGCTGTATCAGTAGGGCACTCCACTGCCTGTCTGGACTTTACAGGGTCAAACGTAGATGCCTTCTGGGTTTAGGCTGGAGGAGACGCGGCTCTGTAGGGCGCGAAGGCCGCTGGGTAAGAGTCGGGAGGATCCAAGTCGTTTCAGAGAGTCACACTCCACTTCTGTACATAAAAACACAGGTTTTAACATCACTGACCTTATAGAAAAATACCTTTACTAACTACCCGGAATCATATTTTCTTGCTACATCAGACGTTGTTTTAATAATAGCCACAAGGTGGCAATGTTCCCTCACAAATACAAACCAGAAGCCAGTAAATAATCCATGAAATTCTGATAAATTAAAGATTATTTGGGCGTCTGTGTGTAATTTTCTGCCTGGTTTTGTGAATACCGTCGCTGCTGTTCTCTCCTGAGGGTTGAGCAGGCAGCACAGTCACTTTGGTACCGGTTTGCTGAATGAACTGCTGCAGGTTGACCTGTCGGAGCTCCTTTGTCAGCTGCTCCAGCTCCTGCTCCTTCTCCTGTGTAGGAAAAACACACCGTGACAGGAAAACAAGGCCTGAGTCTGTGCTGATATAACCAGCATGAATGGAGCTTTAAAGACTCGGAGTTGCTTCACTGCACTGAGGTGGTGGGTTTTTTTTTCTTTTGCAGTTTGGATGTAAATTGTTGCATCTGTCGTTTCGTTTTTTCTCCCTCCAGTCATAACCCAGTTGCAACAGCTACTTCAGCATGGTTAAGTGGCTTCAAGGAGGAGAGATTGCATCCTCATTAGGCCTCTCTCCAATTAGGAGAAGAAGGCTGTTAATACCCTTCCTTCCTCTTTCTAATTACCTCGTGCCATCACACGGTGGACCCACAACGTCATTCATATTCATATTCAGTCCACCTACAAACCAGTTGCAGTCCTCGTTACACTTGTCCATTCTTCTAAATCTTTCTTTTCTACGTATTATTAAGCAAACACCAGCAACCCAACAACAAACATGAAAACCAGAAGAAAGTGAGCTCACCTGTAGTCTCTTGCCTGACTGGAAAAGTGAGCGCTCCACCGCTTTGCAGCTGCTCTCCAGCCGTGAAGTTTGTTGGCTTTGTACTTGCAGCTCAGCCCTCACTTTCTCCAGCTGGGTTTGCACCTGAAATCCAGAGTAGAAGAGTAAAAACTTTTATCCAGATTTATTTTCACATCAAAACACGGGGAAGAGAAGCAGTTCTTTTTATTAATAAATCTTATCTCGAGGGTTTTTCTTCTACCAAAGTGAAGCATTGACAAACTGTTGGAAAGCTAAAAACCTGCCGGAACGTTGCTAAGCTGAGTCCCATTCTGTTCCGCTCTGAACTTGAGACTGATCTCCACACCTTCATCTCCTCACGCTTAGACTACTGTAACTCTCTTTTCACGTGTCTGAGCAGAACCTCCCTGAACCGTCTACAGGTGGTTCAGAATGCCTGTGCTCGGCTTCTGACCAAGTCCTCCAAACACACCCACATCACCCCGCTTCTCCTCCAGCTTCACTGGCTGCCAGTCAACTTCAGGGTTCATTTCAAGATCCTGGTTCTGGTCTATAGGGCCTTACATGGACAAGCACCATCTTACATTGGTGATCTTCTTAGTCCCTACACCCCCAGCAGGTCCCTGAGGTCCAGTGATCAAAGCCTACTGGTTGTGCAGCGCACCAGGCTAAAGACCAAAGGTGACAGATCATTTGCTGCTGTGGCCCCCAGACCCTGGATCTCTCCCCCTGAGCCTGAGATCAGTGGACTCAATGGTCTCCTTTAAAAAGCAGCTGAAAACTCACTTGTTCAGGCTGCTTTGGTGTGACCTCCATCACCCTCTCCTTATTCAGCTTTTTATTTTTTTATTATTTTTTTTTTTACCAATTTCGCCTTTTCCGGGATCCACTGAATTCCCTCTTTCCTATTAAGTTTCTCTTTCCCATCTCCACCTCTTTTTTTAATCCCAAATTATTTATTTTTTTTTTTTTTCATTTTTATGATCTTTTTTTAATCTTTTTTTTTAATCTAGTTATTTTTTAAATTTTTGTACTTGTGAAGCACCTCATGATTCTAATCTTCAGAGGCGCTGGATAAAAGATTGTTTTCTCTCTTTCTTCTTACCGCGTATCACCAACTTTGTTTTTATTGACAAGGATTTAGAACAGTGCTGATATCTGAGTTGTACTCAAGTCACCATTTCTCGAGTCCAAGTCACACTGGAGTCATTAGCGTTCAAGTGCAAGTCCAGTCTGAGTCAAGTCACCAGGTCCAATAGTCCAAGTCCCAAAAAAAATCTTCCAGTCCAACATCCAATTTCAACTGCCAACTTAGGTTGGGTTACTAGACAAACTTTATAACCATTACTTCACAGTGTACAGGTGACATGCAGATTTTTTACATTTATTTTAAGCCTTTTTATTATTTTGCTGCATGGTACTGAGTTAGCTTGGTGGTGGCACGGGGAATTGAGTTGCCCCAGTCTAGTCTTCTATCGTACTCTTGCATATTGTATATCTGGCAGTGCTCTTTCCTGACTTTGAGGATAAATCTGTTAAAGCAAACCGCCAAATACCCGGACATGTTGAATATCTGCTCATGCCTGAGTCAGAGTCCAATTGCAAGTCAGCAGCATGCTGCAAGAGTCAGGTCACAAGTCCTTTAGATGTGACTCGAAGACTTGAATGCTACATCACTGCTTGAGACAGACTTTGTTTCTCAGCTGTTTCTCAGGTATGTGTTTATCAAACCCGGATAATGTGAGTCCTACCTCTTCCTCTTTGACCTTCAGGTTGAGCTCAGCCTCCTTTTGAAGTCGCTCCTTCTCCAGACCCGTCTCCATGCTCTAAATAAAACAGCAAATATTGATACAATAATAATATCCTGCTTCTGTTTAATTTCACTGCCGCTTCACAGTCAAGTTTTGAAAAGTTTCATGAACAGAAGACCTACAGAGTGTTTCTGTGGCGCTCACCAGAATGCGTGCTAAGTACTCTGAAACCTTGGCGTTGCAGTCACGCACACGGCTCTGCAGCTCCGCTAGCTGCTGCCGCAGCTGCCGCTCGCTGTCCTGCTCGACCTGCAGCTCGTTATGCCAGAATTCCTCCTCCTCCATCTCGGCATCGTTCCTCCTCACCTGCTGCTCCAGGAGCAGCAGCTCATCCTCCAGATTTCCTTCCTGACAAGAGCAAAAGTAACAGTTTCTTTAATGAGGGCATGGAGATGATTTGACATGTTCTGTGACTGATGACACACATCGCTGCTCTGGCTGGTGAACTCCTCCCAGTCCTGCAGCTCAGCCTCACAGCCCAGCAGACGGCTCTCCAGCGCCTGGAGTTTGTCCCTCTGCAGCTGCACCAGCCGGCTCAGCTCTCTGGCTGGACTCCCAGGTACTGATGCGGTTCCTCCACCGCCGACTCTGCTCAGGTTCAGATTCACACCACGCTGCTGCTGCAGCTGTAGCTGTTTGGCTGAAAACAGAAATAAGACATGAAGGTAAATAAAAGTGATGCCGATAATAAAAGTCGTTAATATGCATGTGCAGTACCGTCAGAATCTCTGCTTTTTCCAAAGATTTCCCGCAGACCCCTGGCGCCTCCGGTGAACGTCAGAGACTTGCGTTTGGGCTCCCTTCGCTTGAGTGAGCGATCCGTCCATGATGGACGGAGTTTAGCCAGAGGTGGGAGGCTCTGACGGTACAGTCCCCGCTCCGGGATGCGGGCCAAGCCTTCAGAGGTGGGCCGCTCGCTAACCGACGGGCCGGTTCTTTGAAGGATGAGCTGCACGTCACTGGCATACTGACCCCACTTGTTGAGGGATACCACAGGGTTTTCATGTGGAGCCAGGTGGCGCTCCGTGTCCCGCCATTTCTCGATCAAAGTGTACCTGCCAGTCCGTCCTGGGATGAAAGAAAACCCACTTCAGACTCACTTTTAAACGGTCAGATAAAGATAGTAAACATCCTCCACTCAGTTCTGATAATCCAGTTCAACTGAGGGTCTAACTCTTGCGTAGAAAGAATTTTTTTTTATCTTATCTTATTTGAACACCTTCACAACTCTCCCACACTTATGCACCACTGATTCACAGAGCTTCACCAGTGTGTTGGGTTAAAAGGAGTTTTATTTTGAAAAAATTCGATTTTGTTGGCTGAAGGTTCAATGGTTCGCAGTGTGTGTGTGTGTGTGTGTGTGTGTGCGTGGGTGCGTGTGTGTGTGTGTGTCCTGCATTCTTGTCTGTACACACACAGATAAGAGCAGAACACTGCCTGTTTCACCCTCCTGCACCAGAAGGGTCCTTGTGTAAAGAGGTGCATTCATCATCCCCCCCCCCCCGTTTGCATCAAAGTGCCCCAGCCTGAACAAAAGGCACAGCCAACACAAAGAGCAGTGATTGCCACAATTCTTGCTTTACTGTGACACTAAAACGCTTTAACTCTAGTTTATGTCAGGTGTTGGTGAAACACATAACCCTGCTCCTCCTGGCAGGACAAGTTTTAATCTGAAAAGTCTCAAATTAACACAAATATAAAACATCTATAACAGCAACAGAGGAGGTGCGAACTTATTTTTTTGCTGCCACTGCAGCCCTTGTCAATAAACCAAAGGCTGCAGCATGACTCATCACGTCCTGTAAGAGGCTGTTTACGGTGAAAATCTTCATACCCTCCAGTCACTTTTCATTTTCACTCAATTCATCACCTTGAATGAGTCTGACATTGTAAAATATTCCTGTGGGGGATTTACCCCAAACTAAATCTAAAATGCACCGCTCTGACAAGACTTTGGTGCACCTTTGTTGCTCGGTTTTTCAAAACGTAAACACCATCTGACATTTTCCACTTGTGCAATGACACTGAATACTTTGTATTTATTACACAGGTAGGTCTGAGCTTACCAATGGCTTGTGCCAAAGCAATGACCACTTCCTGGCAGGTGGTGAACTCCGTGACACCGCACACAATTCGCTGCACTCCGTCCACCCACACCTTCAGCTCCATGGCCTTCATCCAGAGGACCTCATTCCTCCACACCACCAGGGGTTTGCTGTTTTATTATTCCATCCTTAAAGTGAGAGAACAAGTTTAGTATCAAAATGTTAGGAATAACTCCATACACACGTACCCAAACGTTTAAAACAATAATCCTAAAACAAACAATTCCTGAGCTTGGTAAACAGCTTGAGTGATTCAAGTCCTAGCCACCTTTTTTTTTTTTTACTGTGATGTCAATAGATGTGTTTGTTTAAATAAAATTAGCAGGTACATAACTGTAGTCATTTTATTTATTTCAAAACCTTTAGAACTAATTATTGGAACTCATAATTGGTTTGGTAAGCTCAGTGGCCGTGGCCTGGCCTGCCAGACTCCTCCTCTGTTTAATTCTGCACACAGAAAGGGTCTGGGAACGCTTCTGTTCAAATAACCCCACCTCGTGAGAATTCTAACCGACCCAATCAGCGCTGAGTGGCGTACATCACACACCACAACGAGGATTTTGTCATAAACATGGCGACTGAAGCGGAGTTCGCTGCGGCTCTTTCCTCTGGTCTAAAAGACTTGGACACGTGTTTAAAACAACAAGTAGAAGCGCTAAAAGCCTTTCTTCTAAACAAAGATGTTTGCGCTGTTGCCAGACGCCATTTTTTACAACAGCTAAAAAACAGTGTCGCGGACGTCACACACAGCGACGCTCAGTTTCTCATAAACAACGAAGACAGCGGCGGAGTTCGCTGTGGTTCTTTCCTCTGTTCTAAATTACTTGAATATCTTTAAAACCACAACAAGTAGAAGCGCTAAAAGCCTTTCTTCTAAAAATTAAAAGATGTTTTTGCATAATTGCCAGATGCCTTTTTTTACTACAGCGTCGCGCGGTACAGTCGGCATTCCGGTTATTTTTTCTGATTGGTTATTTTTGAGCTGCCTAGTCCCACCCCTCATGTGCCTCTCTGCCTGTGAGCTACCAGACTCTTTCTCTCTGCAGAGTTAAACATAGGAGGAGTCAGAGGGCCAGGCTACAATGACCCTTGACCTCCATACACAGGTGAATCCAGTAAGGAGAGAGTATTCAAGGGAGCCAATTGTGCGTTTCGCTCCTCTTTGAATATTCTCTAAAAGTAGCAACATGGGGGTCTCAAAACAACTCTCAAATGACCTGAGAACAAAGAATGTTCACCGTCATGGTTTAGGGGAAGGATCCAGAAAGCTGTCTCAGAGATTTCAGCTGTCTGTTTCACCAGTTAGGTACATATTGAGGGAATGGAAGACCACAGGCACAGTTCAAGTTAAGCATCCAAGTGGCAAACCTAGAAAAATCTGGGATAAACAGAAGTGAAGAATGTTGAGAACAGTCAAAGTCAACCCACAGACCAGCACCAAAGACCTACAACATCACCCTGCTGCTGATGGAGTCGCTGTGCATCGTTCAACTATTCAGCGCACTTTACACAAGGAGATGTTGCATGTGAGAGTGACGCAGAGGAAGCCATTTCTTCACCCACAGCACAAACTGAGCTGCTTGAGGTATGCTGAAGCACATTTGGGCAAGCCAGCTTTGGAATAAGGTGCTGTGGACTGATGAATCCAAAACTGGGCATAACAAGGGACGTTAAGGAGGAAAGAGATGAAAAACACCTGCTACCCACAGTAAAACATGGTGGTGTTTCCGTCATGCTGTGGGGCTGTGTGGCCAGTGCAGGGACTGGTAATCAGGTTAAAGTTGAGGGACGCATGAATTCCACTCAATATCAGCAGATTCTGGAGACCAATGCCCAGGAATCAGTGACAAAGCTGAAGCTGCACCGAGGCTGTCTTTCAACAAGACAATGACCCTAAACACCGGTCAGAATCTACTAAGGCGTTCATGCAGAGGAACATGAACGTTCTGGAATGGCAATCTCAGTCCCCAGACCTGAATATTATTGAAAATCTGTAGTGTGAGTTAAAGAGGGCTGTCCATGCTCAGAAGCATCACACCTGAATGAACTAGAGAAGAATGGTCCAAAATACCTTCAGCCAGAATCCAGACTCACATTGGAGGCTATAGGAAACGTTCAGAAGCTGTTATTTGTGCAAAACATTGAGTTTAGTTATTTTTGTGGTACTCAAATATATTAAACTTGTTAAATTTTGTTTAAACAATTATTGCACACTTTCTGTAAGTCTTGTAAACTTCTTTTCACTTCTTAAACATGACTGTGTCTCCTATATGATATATTTAACTGAAAAGTTTTATCATAACAACAAGACATTTATACAGGAAAACCATGTAGAATAACAAGGTTGCCCAAACCTTCGCGCCTCACTGCATCATGCAGCCCCTAGTCTATAAGATTTGCTGATTCGATGTTATAACAGTAGCCCTATAACTATTTTTAAAGAAAAAAAAATTGAAAATCAAAACATTTTTCCACCTTCTTGCAGTAAATCTCTGTAAGACATGCGCTAGTTAAGGTTGTTAAGTAGCTCTATTTTTCTAATGAAGTTTGTGGGCTCCAGTGTTGCTGAGTAAACACCCCTTCACTCTTTATACTAGTTTGAGTAACTCTTACTTTAGTGTACATGAAAAACAAAAACATTGTGAGTGCATTATTATCGTGACTGAAATGGTTGGTCTCAGTTTCCGTTTCTTTAAGACCCCTCAACAAACCCTGATTGGTCAGAAGTAGACCATGAAAGAGTACTTTACTGGTCATAAAAATATTACAAACTTATGTGAAGAGGAACGAGGAGAGAAGAACAGCAAATAATGTTTTACAAACAGTTCAGGGTGAGTTAAAGTCAGGCGCTGACTCTACAGAACTTCTGCTGTCTGGTTGTATCTATCGATGCCTCAATACTGATAGCTTCAGGTTCTGATTCAGTATTACGATTGTGCCCTCATACTATTGAAAGTTCTCCAGTACCTGGGAAACGATGTCTTTATGTGACACACAGCAGGAGAAAACAGCAGGAGACTCTGCAGCAAACTGTAAGTAAAGGTTAGGATTAAGATGCTTAGCCGTACGAATATTCATGCCGTCCAAATGATCACAGTACCAACGTTTGGTTTTGGGTAAAGTACACATGACCAAATAGATGTTATCTGAACCAAACCTCGGTACCGTGAGGATTCACAGCTGATCAATGATCCAGAAGTGGTAGCAAGTTTTATTTAGCCAAATTTTACTAGCAACTATGGTAAATGGCTTAGCTTGTATTTTGTATAGCGCCTTCTAGGATTCTACAACCCCCCAAGGTACTTTACAACACAATCAATCATTCACTCATGCACACACACATTCACACGCTGGTATAGATGAGCTACAACCTAGCCACAGTTGCCCTGGTGCTTACTGATGGAAGCGAGACAAACAATGGCTCCACCAGTCCCTCTGATCACCACCAGCCAACTAGGTGGGTTAAGTGTCTTGACCAAGCCCCCACAATGTGGGTGAAAAATTGAGTCCAACCCGGAAGTACCAAAAATTGCAGTTCCACCCTCATCTGCTGGGGGCTGGTGTCAGAAGCGAGAGAATCCTCATTGACTCCCATGTTAAAAATACCAATTTCACAGCAGAAATAAACATGTTTACAGCCTGGTACCAAAACATGTTTTTGGATAAAATTATCTAGTTTACACTCATGACAACTCTGAGGGGGGTGAATATTTTTCTCACTCTTCTGTTTAAGTGTATTAAAAGCCTAAAATTCTGTATAATTAATGAGCATCAGACCCACGTGACCGCAGAGCTAGCTCCGGGGAAAGGCCTCAGTCTGAGCCTCGGTCTGGCTTGGAAACTGCTCCGGGATTTTGAGTCTCTGTGTTTGTGTATTCTTTTTTGAATATTTTTTGTGCAATTGTTGGACAAAATGACTTGCTGTGGCATTAATTGCACTAATAGAGTGTCCAAGGAGTCTCCACTTCATTTTTTTCGGTAAGTAAAATTATATTTATGTATTTTAGGTCACTGCCGAGCTGAGCTTAGATTTTAACATGTACTGTTTAAACATGAAATTTAAATGTAATAGGGTAAAACCCAGTGCATTTAACATAATGCTGCACTTTAGAAAATGGGTTGAAATATAACATGTTGGTGGAGCTGGGTTCCGACTATCGGCTTGTGGAGCTCTCGGAAGACCGATGTTTTCCACCCGTTTCTCCCCTCCCCGCAGCTCGGCGCATCTCTGTCTGATCGCGGCTTCTGTCTGCTGCGCGGGCTGCCGGCTTTCAGCAGCTTTCGGGAGACCTCTGTGTTCCACTCGGTTTTACCCAGCGGTCAGCCCGGCGTATCTCTGCATCAGAAGCTCTGGTGTTGTGCACAGTTAACTCCAGTTGTAGCTAGGTTGCTACGTTAACTCCGGTTGTAGCTAGGTTGCTACCTCCGTTAGCTTAGCTCCCACCTCCCCGTTAGCTTTGGGTTAGCTTGTAGCTAGTTCGACCGGGTGTCGTCAGTTGATCCCAGCCTTACAGCCCCACCCTCAGCTCCACCTCTCTTCCCTTTTGTGGAATTGTCTGGGCTTGACGGAACCTGTGACACGGTCAAAATGGCGGTGGTGGCCACCTCCCATTTTAGCTCAAAAACTTATTATTGGAGCCTATGGAAACCCATTGTCCAATATTTATATGTCAATGGTCTTGATCGAAGACAAAGCGACTGCAACAGATTGAGATGGACTTAATCCCATAACCCTCCAGTTATGAGACGGGCACTTAAAGAAACAACAGATAGTGTTTGAAACTTTCAGCTAGAACTAACATTGATCTCAGTGATTGTTGAGTTAGAAACTTGACCAGTTTCATATTTGACACCCCTCTGCTGACTAAAAACCACACTAGATAGTTTTGTGGAGTGAGTAGGTGTCCTAGGGGATGCTATTACAGCTGTTAGCTGTAATGCTGGTGGTTATAGCATTTACAGTTCGCTGATCGTCAATAAAAAGCACACGATGAAGAACAACAAGAAGTTTGCTTTTTTCTTTAGGCATCATGGCGGAGCCTGGAAGAAAAAGTAAGAAAGTAATGTCTTTGGAGGGGAAGCAAATAGCTAAAACTAGAGCGAACATTGGCACCCACACTAGTTTGAGGGAGTTAAAGGAGGCTACAAAATCAGACTGATGGTGACCTGGCTTTGTTGAAGAAGAAGAAGAAGAAATAATTTCTATATTTCTGTTGCTACTGGACTTGTAAGTAACAATATTTTTGTCCAATAGAGTGGATCTTTTTAGAATTCATTGGCTTATGTTAGTGTTAGTTTGCTGTTAGTGCTAGCTACAGCAGGGCTGTTCACAACAGTTGTTGTTCCACCTTTAGCCAGTAGGGCAGAGAAGCAGGAAACTGTTCTGTGTTACTTTAACTCTAACTTTCACTTTAAAAATCCAGGGAGCTACAGATGCTCTGTAACTGAGCTTCAGAACAACACACAGAAGATTAAAGGTTCATGGATTGGTTTTAATCCACAGAAGAAGCATTTGGCATTGATGCATACCTTATTACATTTTCCAAAAACTGTAAAAAAAAAACTACATTTGTCCTTCTGAGAATCAAATGCTGTTGCTTTAATGTGTATTTTTGTGTTTTAGTTCAACACTCAACTACTACAACTTTGTCGTAAAACAAAATCACAGCATCATCCCAATGCAGTTCCAACCTGCCTCATCTCTTTCTACTGGTCTCCTAAATGACTGCACAGTCACCAGAGAGGCCGCTTCACTTCAGCTGGGATGCAAACAGCTAAAACTTGACATCAACACTTGTTCTCAGAGCGCTTTCATTTAACGCTGCTGATAAACTGCTGCGAGAGCACCCTCGTGGTTCAGCAATTGCGACCGTGTAATAGAAGTCTTCCAATATATTTTTCATTTGCTGGCATTTGGTGCACAGACGCAGAATGAGAGCCATTTTCAAAACTGCTGACACAAGCAGCCATGGTGGGGCAGTCATTATGGAGCTGGCAACGCCTCAACAACCATCAGAGCAACGGAGCAGTGAGGGAGCGGGAACATGATGCACAGTTTTAGTCTGCAGCACTCCTTTCTCTGATCCCACACTTCCAGACCTTGATATGGAATTATGGCACCATCTATCCATTGGAGAAGGTGGAATGGGACACATGTATAGAGCTTCACGTAAAACTCCTTAAGGATTACTCCCACTGAGACTGCATTATGGTACTCTCATCTGCTAGTGGCATCTGTCAGGGTGAGCTTTAAATAAGCAGGAGTTTAAGATTTTTGTTATAGTGCCAAAAAAAGATTGAGTGCATGAATGAATGAATGAATGAATGAATGAATAAATGAATGACTGAATGAATGAATGAATGAATGAAGCATTTTTT